TTAAGTTTATTTATTTGTTTATCTTTCTTCTACCTGAAAAAAAGACCTAGAAGAAGAGGAATCTTTTTGGGGAGTGTATTAGCATTTTTGTCACTGGGACAAAATACCTGATGCCCACAGTTTAAAGGAGAAGGAATTAATTGTTTCAGAGGGTTAAGTCCCATTAAACCATTAATCATGGTTTCGGAGGGTTAAGTCCCAAGGCAGAAATGGCCTGATGGAAGGGCCTAATGGGGGAAACTACTCAAATTATAGTAGCCAGGAAGCAAAGAGAGAGAAACAGCCTAACAGGAGGGGTCAGGGGACCAGATGTACCCTTCAAAGGCCCGCTACAGGGACCTACCTCATCCAATTAGGTACTACTTCCTATTAAACTCGTTAGTGATGCTCTGCAGTGGATTAACCCACTAGATGAAGTTAAATCCCTCATGATGCATTCAGATCCTCAAATCTCGTGAGATGGCAACCAAACCTTCAATACTGTGAGGCTGAGGGAAGATGTTTTAGATCCCAGCCATAACAAGTCACTGCTACACAGTGAGCACCGATGTTTTTCAATGGATGAATGAATTCCAGTTTGTGGTGAAACCAAGTGGCAAATCTGGACTTGGGTTAGAAAAATTAAGGTGGATTGTTTCCAGGAGGTAATTTAACTTTGGCACCGCTGATGTAAAAGCCATTTTTGGAACTGGAAATTTAGTTCAGAGGTAGAGTGCTTGCCGGGCATGCACAAGTCCCTGGATTCTATCCCCAGCACCACACACACACACACACACACACACACACACACACACACGTGTGCGGGCAATAATAACAATAATAATGTAAAATAAATAGTCTTTTTAACTTAGGTTCTCTTATGTCTCACCTATGAGTTTTCCTATAAGCAGTGCTCTTCATAAAAAGCGTAGCCAATACACAGTGCGTGAGTGGAGGGAAGCCTTCCCCTCGAAGCCATGGCTTGTACCCAATATGTCAAACGTTTGTCCCGGCTCCTTGCCGTGTGGCACTCAGTGGTGTCCTGTATTTCCTGCATTGTGTTCTTCCCCTTCAGTGTTGCTCATGGACTCTTCCAGTGCCATGGCTTTGTCACTCTTCCTCCCTCTCATGTGACTTACAATTCTCTCCTCATTGTTCTCCATCTTTTTCCTTTGAAATTTCTTTTGCCCTCCCAAAATTTCCTTTGTGCTGCTTTTCTTAGAGCTTTCCAGAGGTCATAAAGGTATCATTCAGCATTTCTATGCCTTAACATAGTTAAATATTTAAGTTTTTAAAAAGCTAACACTATTATTCTATTCTTTACTAGAGTAAATGCTAGAGATATGTTTGCTTTTAAAAATAATTTTAGGGGCTGGGGATTTAGCTCAGAGGCACAGTGCCTGCCTGGCAAGCGCAAGGTCATGAGTTCAATTCCTGGTACTGAAAAAAAACCAAAAAAAAAAAAAAAATCATTTTAGCCAGCCATGGTGGCGCACACCTATAATCCTAGCACTCAGAAGGCTGAGGCAGAAGGATCGCTATGAGTTTGAGGCCAGCCTGAGCTACATAAGTGACTTCAAGGCCTGCCTGCACTACATAGTGAGATCCTGTCGCAAAAAAAAAAAAAAGAAGAAAGAAGTGAGATTATAGTGACTCTGCCTCTCAAGGCTGCTGTCTTGGTGCTTAATAAATATTTTTGTTATTATTGTAGTTGTAGCTATCTTAGATATAATATTTAATATGGAAAATTCCAACTACACACAAAAATAAAAAGAATAACTTATTGGATCTCAAAATATCCAGCTTTAATAATAATTATTATTTTTTACTCCTGTTTTTATCTCTGCTGCCACCCACTCCTGTACTCCAAATTATTTTGAAACAAATCATAGATATTATATCATTTATCCATAAATATTACAATCTGTATCTACAAAAGGTAAGGATTTTTAAAAACAATAATATCATTACAGATGTTTATATTAAATAATATCAAATATCCAAATTTTTTATTTGGTTTTGTTTAGTTTTGGTTTTGTTTTTCTTTTTTTGAGACAGGATCTCACTATGTAGTCCAGGCTGGCTTTGAACTTAGTAGGTAGCCCTGGCTGGCCTGAAATTCACAATCCTCCTGCCTCAGCCTCCCACATCCTGGGGTTACACGTGTGTGCCACCACATCCAACAATTTTTTTAATAATTTGTTAAACCAATATTCATATAAGGTCCATTAAGCCAGGCATGGTGGCACATGCCTGTAATCCCAGCACTCAGGAGACTGGGGCAGGAGGATCACTGTGAGTTTGAGGCCAGCCTAGGCCACATAATGAGTTCAAGACCAGCCTAGACTACATAGTGAGACTTAGTCTCCAAAAATATATCTATAAGGCTCATTATGTCTTTTAATTTTTACCATAAGTATATAAGAATGTGAAAAGAGATTTTGATTAGCATAGGGAAAAAGAATTATAAAAGAGTAGGAGATTGGATCCTAAAAAGAGTGACAATGAAACAGTAGCTAGATAGCAATGTAAAATGACACCATGGTGGTGGTGGCGGTGCACGCCTGTGATCCCAGCACTTGGGAAGTTGAGGAAGATTGAAGCAAGTTCAAGGCCAGTCTGAACTAGACAGCAAGACCCTATCTAAAAAAAACCAAAGACATAACTAAATAAAATAAAATAACACCATAAGAAAGACCATGTGATGAGCTGAAAAGTGTGGATAAAAGGCTATAAACACTGCTTCATCTTCCTTTTCATTCTGTTAATGAATTATGTATATATCCTTCACATACTTAAGAATGGTGGGAAAACAAGTGATTGTAATTCTCTTAATTTTTACAGTGAGATGTTCACATCATTCTACAATGATCACGCAGGACTTTCGTTTGTTCTCCTATGGAGTTAGCTATACTTGGCATGCTGGACTTCGCTCTTACCAGGAGCCGTCGTTCTCGTTGTGAAGCAAGCAGAGGCACAAGCCCGGGAAGGGCCGGGCCCTCACCTGACTGTCTGCTGGTGCCAGCACATGGCCAACAAAGGGGCATTCAAAGGGCTGGGGCACATGATCTCATGCAGCCTCCAGAGCTACCCTGAGGAGGTGGGAGGCAGAGATGCTGCGGGACTTGGCTTCTTTCACAGAAAGGGAAACTGAGTCACAGAGCCCCTGCCTTTTTGCTCCCATTGCCCCTCCCACTGGTCCTGGGGATAGGGTTTTTAGGCCAGATGGCTGGTGCTGCTCATAACCAGGAGATGCTGTTCTACAACTCTTCTGAGCTTCAGCATCTCAGCGTAGGTGTGTGAAGGGCGGGACCTGGTCATGTTTGACCAAGGGAGCACTTAATCCTGCGTGTGACGCGCCACACCGCATTCTGTGGTTCAGGATCTGACGGGGCTTGCTCGGGTTCTCACGCCCAGCTAAGGCAGGATTGGCTTCTGCTTGTCTTTGTATATCATGAATTCTTCATTCTCTGTCACTGTCGCCTGCTCCAACCTTGGCCCCCAATGTCTGCAGCTCACAAGTCCCTCTCAGTATGTGTCCCTTACGCTCATTTGGTGTCTCCTGTTCTCTGAAGCCTTCACCTCTGGACTTGTGTGGCATCTGCTGTCCCCATGCTTTCCCTCCACCCCACTCCTCTTCCACGGTTTCCTCTGGACAGTCGTACCTGGAAGTTTGTTCTCTCATCATCCCTCAGCGTGCACAGAGGATTGGCTCCAGGATCCTCGTGGATACCGAAACCCATGGGTGCTCAAATCCCTTACCTAAAATAGTGTAGTTTTTGCACATAATCTGGGACATCCTCCCATTACTTTAAATCATTCTCAAATGACTTATAATATCTAATACAATGTAAATGCTATGTAAGGAGTTGTTATACTATGTCCTTTAGAGAATAGTGACAAGAAAAAATCTGTACATGTTCAGTACAAGCACTTTTTTTTTTTTTTTTTTGTAGTGCTGAGGATTGAACCTGAGGGCTTCAGTCCTAGGCAATGGGCTGGGGATATAGCTCAGTGGCATAAGTGCCTGCCTGGCATGCTAGGCAAGCATTCTTATCACAGACCTGCTCTTCAAATGCAATTTCAAACCAAGTGTGATAGCACACAGCTATAACCCCAGTACTAGGGAGGCTGAGGCAGGAGGAGGGGGATTATCATGGGTTGGAGGCAAGCCTGGGCTATACAGTGAGTTCAAGGCCAGCCTGAACTACATAGCAAGATACTGTCTCAAAAGCAAGAAACAAAGCAAAACAACCCCCACCCCCAAATGCAATTTTTTAAAAATGTCTTTCAATCATTGGTTGGATCTGCAGATGGATATGGAGTGCCAACTGAATGCTCCTTGTTCTCTAGTTGCATCATCTAAATGTCCATTTCTCCTCCTCTGGAAGACAGCAGGCTCCTTGCAGGCCGACTCTGCCAATAACGATGGGAAAGATAACATCTCTGACGGTGCCAAGCCTAGCGCTAACCGAGTCCCATAGTGATCTCATCCCATGATCACAATAAACCTGTGTTAGTATCCCACTTGACAGGTGAAGAAGCCGAAGCTCCAAGGCGGTGGCGTCATCTGTCTGTCCAAGGTCACCCAGCTGGAAGATGACGACGAGAGAGCAGACATCGTCCCCATTTTTGTCTGGCTGTGAAGCCTGTGCTTTCCATCACAGCCCAAACTCTTTGTCACTGTTTCCTGCTTGATTCCAGTTTCCTTGAGCGTTCTTCTGGTGGCACCCACAGATCCTGGTTTTTGGTAGCAGACAAGCCTCCTGCTGATACTGCTCTGTCTGGCTGAGGTGCTCTGGGCTTGCCTGAGCCCCGAGGGTTGGCTGGGATGGGAACACTCGAAGCTCTGTGCGTCCTCCCACCTCCACATTCTTCCCTCTGCGCATCCTTCTCTGCTCTACAACTTCTTCCCTTGAGCATGCCTAATCAGCTAGAGGACTCTCACTGGACATTCAGGCGTCTCCAGGGCTGTGGCGCTGATATCTCCTGATAAGAGTTGGTAAGAAAATGGAGCTATCCATCCATGAAAGGCCCCCAGGAGGGGACCAAGACTGAGACAGGGCCCCTGCTCACACACCCCATCTGGACCCTTCCCTTACATAGCCTCCCTCCTCTTCCCCCAGTCAGCATCCTTGTTTGGGGGCCCAAGCCCTGAGTTAAGCTCCACCCGTCTCCTGGCCTCCTAAAGTTTGGGGGTTGCATGCAAGTCAGAGATTTTCAAGTAGGGGGTGTATTGGAGGGATTTCTGAGGGCTGATTGTCCTGGAGGATTGGGGGGAAGGTGGCAGAGTCACAGCTGCCGCCTCCAAGGACGTCGGTGTAGCTCCCTGGGAGACCCTCTGCCCTCTCCCCCTCCTGCCAGCCTGGGCGAGCAGGAACCAAGCTTGCTGATTATCACCTGACGCTGTACAGCCACCGATCCCATTGGTGGAGCCAGATTCGGTCTGGTTTGCTCGTTCTTTCTCGCCTTCTCTGCCTCTCTCTCCTCCACGCTGCTTGGATTTTGCTCTTGCCTCTCTTCTTTCACTCTCACACTCGACTGGGCTGGGAACATTGTGTCGCTGGGGCAGCAGCCGTTTGTTGCGGAGCCAGAAAGGAGCTGCCTGTGGGGCATGGAAGCTGCCTCCTTGGCGGCCGGCAGAGGAGCGAGCGTGAGCGGCTGCCTGTGACCCAGGTGTCCGGCCGCTGTCTCCCTGCCTGGGGAGCTCATCCACGCAGAGGTCCTCCCTTCCCTCCTTGCCAGGTCTTCCTCTGCAGAGCCCGGAAAAGCCAGGTGAGTGCCCTCCCCCCACCTCCACCGGCCATCCTGCTACCTATCCTGAGAGGCTGAGAGCTGGGGGTGCCAGGGACCTGCCACTGTCCGGGGTGCCCAACTGAATCGCCAAGGAGTCGACCTTGTCCCCTCTCCCCATGGCCTTCTGCAAAGGGCTTAACAGCTGGATCCAGTCCCTGGGGTGATACAGTTAGTTACCCCGTGACCATTCTGCTGCAGTCAGCGGTGCCAGCGGGGACAGTGGGTGGGGGAGCTTTCCCTGTGGCATGCAGGTGGCTTTTCTGAATGGGACTGAGGAAGGGGCACCGTGTTACAGTGTGTGTGCATGCTCGCGGGGAGGCCGGAGGCCGCTTGCGTAGATAGGTGTGCCTGCGTGGAGTTAGGCTCCTGTGGGGGCTTAGCCACCTTCTGGCATGTCTAGGAACATAGCTTTTTTGCACGTGTGAGGTACGTGTGTGCGGAGGCAGTGCTTCTCTGTAGCCTGTGGGTAGGCGTGGGCGGGGGGCCGGCGAGGCAGTATATTTAGGGGGTGGACGTGTCACTTGTCCTGTGGGTGGGAGTACATGTGGAGGGAGTACATGCAAGCAGGCGCTTTCTATGTGGGGAGACACAACTCCAGAACAGGGTGGGCGGGAAGCGTGGGCAGACCCTTGTAGGTGCCCAAACCTGTTGGTATGTGAAGGATCAGGCTGGCAGAGTGTGGTGAGACGCAAACATGTTTTCAAAGTCTGTCTTTGAGCCTGGAGACTCCAGCGAGAATACCAGAGTCCCCTGGGGGAGTTGAAATGCCTGTGAATGCACATGTGTGCTCAGACAGGCATGTGGGTGGCATGCCTCCTTGGGGAGGTGGCACACATGCATGTTGGTCCCTGCAGCTTCTTCTTTTCCCCAAATATGGCTTGCAAGGAGGGATTCGTCCCGTGGGTGTGCATGAGACCATGGACATGAGCATGTGTGGGTCTGCTTGAAGGTGACAGTTTGCAGAGGGAAGAAACCATGGGGCAGACTTAGAATGCGCAGGTAGGTAGGTGGAGGGGTACCTCGGTGGGTAGGGAGTACGGGAGTGAGGGTGGCTGGGGAGGTGTGTGCAGGGGCTGGGGGGCACCCTTGGCCCTTGTGTGTGTGTGTGTGCCTGCCTATGTGTGGGTGTGTACACGCTTGCCCGGGGTGGATTCACACAGGAGCGTGGGTGTTTCTAGGGTGTTGCCTCAACCTGCCGCTCACACCCTGCTTTTCCCCAGGCATCTGCCCATCGAGAGGCTGGGTTCACACCCACCCTGGTCCACCCTCTTGGTGCCAGTCGACACCTCTCTCTCAGGCTAGGGTGCGGGAGTCAACTTAGCTCTCCCAGAACTGGAGAGAGAACGGATAAGCAGCTGCCAAGTCTGGGGCTCCCACACACCGCACAGCTACCCCATATCCCTAGAAGACTCTGAGAAGAGGAGGAAACGAGGCAGAAACAGTGGCTTGATCATAGGGCCAGTGGAGGCTGCGTCACACGGGTAGGAGTGCGTCTGTGTTCGTGTGCGCAAGGGGCATACATGTATCTTCCTGGGAGCTTCCTGCCAGGATCCGGGGAAATGGTAACTCCCCACTGCTCCACACCTGTCCCCTCAATTACAGACAGGTCTATTATTGTAGGGTTGTGGACACAACCCCAGATCCATCTGTTTTATTTTAGGGTGGACTTGGTAGTACGCCCATGCTTACTTACCATGGGAGTCCATGCATGAAGCTACTGAATCTCACTGTAGGGTGTGAGGCTAAGAAGAAATAGGACTTGGGGGACACCCAGGGTGGGTAAGAACCATCATCCATAGCCTCCCCCAGGACCTGCCACCCAGGCAGCCCACAGGTTAATCTAGAGGTGCCAGGCTCTGTAGCAGGCTTAATTGACAGGGAAGTGTGGGCTGGATCTTCGGGAAGCTAAAAATAAAGTACCTGTTTTCGCAGGCACAGGGTGCCCTCACCCCTAGCTCCTGGGTAAGGGGAGGAGAGAAGGAGGTAGCACTGAGCTGTGCCAGGTGCTGAGCCGGAGGAAAGAATCAAGAAAGCAGGAGACTGGATGCCCTGGAGAAAGTCCACCCACGTGTGTGCCTCTTCTGCCCCCTCACCTGTCCCCACCCAGAGCTTGGGGTGGTGGTCAGGCCATAGATGAGGCCAGGCAGCTCTTCCCAGCTAGGGACAGGTGAGAGAGACGGTGGTGCAGTCCTTCCACACCTGGAGGGCACGAGATGTCCGGTAGAGTTGAAGGAGTGGGAGAGGAAGTTTAGAGAAAATGCAGTTGCCCGAAAGGTATCAATGCAAGCAGGAAAAATAAATAGCCAGAAACATATGTGCCCTGCACATGGCCACATGCCACGCATGTCACAAACATACACACTCACACACACATCCACACAAGCTTAGAGATAAAGTGCTTGATCTCCAGAGCACACTTCATTTGCTGACTGTGGCCTTAGGCACCCCCAAGCACAGTTAACTTATCTGTAAAATGGGGATAATAATAGTATGTACCTATTATGAGAGCTGTGTGAGATAATGTCTGTGAAATTATTCATACCTTTGGGTTCCCAATAGACCTCAGTGTTGAAACAAAACAAATTATTTTAAAAAGCCAAGTGAAGACCAGCCAAAAGAGAGTGATTGTCAAAAAAGTTATAGGTGGAAAGAGAGCTTGAAGCAGGCAGAGGCCCACACCACCCCCGTCCACCACAAATATATCCACAGGCACCTTTCCGGCACTCGTCCTCCCAGCTCTGCATCACGGGGACCCTCCCTGAGCAACCCCAGGGAGGAGAGAGGCCTGAGCCCAAGGGTCTTGGCACCTTGGACTCTTGGCTGCCAGCATCTGCCCCCTGCCTCAGTGCCAGCCCTCAGCCCCCCAGCAGGTGCTTCCTGCCTCCTCTCCGCCTCTAACCCGTTCTCTCCACCCCCAGCCTTTCTCTTTTCACGCCTGCTGGCTGAGAGCCCCCGCCCTCCTCGGCGCCATCTGCTGCAAATCTGTCCCTGCCCAGCATTTGCAGCGTTCCCACTGCCTCTGCCACCTGTCAGGTGCCGTCTGCTCTGCTGACCCTCCGAGGAAACAGAGCGCCCCCAGGGGCCACCCACCCCAGCTTAGGTCCCTCAACTCTGGTCTTCCCCATGCAATCTTTTCTGTCAGATTTATGAAGCAGATGCATTTGTTGGGTTCTGAAGGATCCGACTAGCGAGCAATGTTGGGCGCTGCCCATTCCAGAAAGCTCTGCGGTGGGAGGGAGCCACTGATATTTCCCCTCACACTCAGTTCCCACAGGGGCCGAACCAGAGGGGAGCATGGAGCTGCTGTCCACCCCCCACAGCATCGAGATCAACAACATCACCTGCGACTCCTTCCGCATCTCCTGGGCCATGGAGGACAGCGACCTGGAGAGGGTCACCCATTACTTCATTGACCTCAACAAGAAAGAGAACAAGAACTCCAACAAGTTCAAGCACCGGGTGAGTAGAGGATGCTGCGGCACCTCTCCCCAGCCCCTGTTCTGGAAGGAGATAGGAAAATGGACCTCGGGGCTGGGGATTTAGCTCAGCGGCACAGCGCCTGCCTGGCAAGTGCAAGGTCGTGAGTTCGATTCCAAGTACGGAAAAAAAAAGGAAGAAAAAAAAAAAAAAGGGAAAATGGACGTCGAGGAAAACAGGATGGAATCAGAGGTCTGATCAGAACCCAGGTTCTCTGAACTGCGTTAGCTTGGGGAAGTGATGTGACCTCTCCTGGCTCCAGTTCCTTCCCCGGTGAGAAGGGAGTAATCACGGCCACCCTCAGAGGGTTGCTGAGAAGATTCCGTGAGTAATGTTTGCGTGGTGTTTGGCTCGCAGCCTGAAACAGCGTGAACACTGTTATCTGCGCCATAACTGGGCCTTCAGACAGGGCCGCGTGCCCAGGCAGGGGGTGGACCCAAGGTGCCACACATGGTAATGGATGACGTCTCAAACTCTGACCAAGGCCAGGCCTCAGGGAGCAGGCTTGTTGGCTGGATGGACAATGCTGGGCAGGCCCCTTTTGCCAGGGATTCGATGCTTTCCCTCGAGTCCTGTCACTCTGCCCCTCGGCCGCCTGCTGGTTACCAGCTGTTAGTCTAGGAAAGGAATGTGAGCAGGTCCTCACGGGCGTGTCCTTTCCCTGGGTGAGAAGCTGCTGTGGGGGCGGGTGGGAGGAAGCCCACATCTTCTCCAGCTGGAGAAGCAGGGGACGAGGTGAGGAGAGGCTGGCTCCCAGGACACCAGCCTCAGTGTGGGTTACTTACCCCGCTCTCTGGAACTGGCTCTCTTGATCTGGGTGTCTTTTGGCAGGCCAGTTGCCACGGTGATGTGAATGTTCAACACCACCCCTTGAAGCAGGCCCTCCCCCCAAAGAATAAGGCATATTTTCCCTTCCACCTCGGCTTCTCAGCATTTGCTGTTGCCGTGGAGACAGCACTGCAGTGTGCAGAGCTCTCAAAGTCTCCCTCAAAAACGGAGGTCTTGACACCTTCAACTTTGGGGACCTCCTCCCAAGTAGCCTCTCCCCTCGGTTCCTGAAAGAACAAGGCAACAGCATGGGAAGGAGGAGCGTCTGTGTGGTAGTCCCAAGCCCTGCTTGCTTCTGCAGGAAAATGGCAGCCAGGGCATGGAGATATTGGGTCCCCCAAACACTGACCCTCTTCTGGGGGCAGGGGGAGGGAGGTGATTTGGGGAGTAGGAATTCTGGGAGAATTCCAAGACGGGACGTGACCCCTCGATTAACTCTGGGCTTTCCACCCATGTCCCACTTCTCAGGATGTCCCCACCAAGCTCGTGGCCAAGGCTGTGCCACTGCCCATGACAGTGAGGGGCCACTGGTTCTTGAGCCCCCGCACAGAGTACAGCGTGGCTGTGCAGACAGCCGTGAAGCAGAGCGATGGAGAGTACTTGGTGTCCGGCTGGAGCGAGACGGTGGAGTTCTGCACTGGGGGTGAGGCCTGGCTCTTGGATCGCTGTCTTGCTTGTTTGGCACATCTGGCTTAGTTGTGGCCAACAGGGGCCAACACTCATGGCCATCTGCTGGGTCCTGGGCTATACCTGGGCCAGAAGGGAGACAGCTCGGCTTTTCCTGATGAGGGACAAATGTGGACACTACCGCTCAACTTGGCAATACTACCCCCATGAAGGGGTGGAGGTACTTTTCTGAAAGGATGGGGTCTCACACATTTTTAAAAGCATGGTAAAACACACAACATAAAACCTATCATCTTGACCATTTCTACTGCACAGCACAATAGCATTAAGTATATTCACAGTGTTGTCCAGCCAGTCTCCAGAAACTTTCCATCTTGCAAAACTGAAACTCTACCCATTAAACGACCACTTCCTGTTTCCCTCTTCCCCCAGGCCTTGGCACACAACACTCTACTTCCCATCCCTATGATTTTGACAACTCTAGGTGCTTCCTCTAAGTAGAATCATGCAGTGTTTGTCCTTTTGGGAGCTGGTTTATTCCTCTTAGCATAATGTCCTTGAGGCGTGTGGGTGTCATAGCATATGTCAGAATTTCCTTCCTCCTTAAGGTTGATCAACATTTTGTTCATCAGTGGTCTGTCAGTGAACACCTGGTGGGACAATCACATTTTTCTGAAAAATGGCCCTTATCCGACGGCCTTGCAAGCTCTCTAAGCAGAGCCTACCTTGTAAATTCAAACATGAACAAACACTGACCTTCTGTGTGCTTGCTCATCGCTGACCCGGGACCTGCCCCACAATATCCCATTCCTTTAGTGTCCACATGAGAACTGCTCCAGATTGCTGTCCTGTTGCAAGGAAGGGGCAGGGAACATTCTCTGCCCGAGGGCCTCCGAGGCTGCTGGCTCCATCCTCTGCCAGCGTCTGTGCCCCAAGTCTCCTTGAGCTGCCGCAAACCTTACTCAGCAGTGCTCCTGCTCCTTGTGGAGAGGGCTTCTGGGTTTCTACAGAACCACACATGCCACGAGCATTTAATTCAAACTGGGAGCTGGGGGTGGCTATAGTCCAGTCCACCCTCCTCTCACCCAACCAAGCGCCCCAGCCATCAGGAATAAGGAAAGGGCACCTCTTTCTAGTTTGCACCAAGGTGCTGTCCAGCCTAGCAGCAGCCCTGCTTGGGCTCCAGAGCCCCAGGCTCAGGCTGGGGTGGGGAGTGTGGGGTGCTCAGTTTCCTGACTCTGGTACCAGCCTTCCGCATTTCTCCAGAGTGGCTCAAGTGCAGAGCCAGTGCTCCAGCCCTGAGGAACGGCTGTGGTCACTGCCTTAATATTCACGATTGCGGGGCCAGGCTCCGTTCTCTGATTCTTTCACATAGTAGAAGAATTCATCCACTTGCTGTATTTGAGGGGCCCTCCCGAAGGACCCTGCATCCACCCCTCTCAAGTCCATCTTTGGTGTCCATCTTTTCATATGAGCATGGGCTGGGATGACAGCCCCCTAGGGCCGGGGCATGGTCATAGGGCATTCCCCTACCCTTTGTGGACCCAGGGCAGCCATGAGCCTCTGGCAATGAGGGCGTAGAGACAGTGAGGACAGCTAGCACACAATTCTGTGTTCCCAGCCAAGGCAGGCTGGCTTGTTCCAATCTGAGTCCAAGCCTCTGCTGCGGCTGTGTAGTTCCCCCTGCTGCTCCCGAGGACAAGGTTAGCTGGCAGGCACAACGGGGGTAGACAGGGGTCAGGGGAGAGGACGAGGCTGTGATCCTGCAGCTGGCTCTAACTCACCTCGCCCCACCTGCACTCCCACAGATTATGCCAAGGAGCACCTGGCCCAGCTGCAGGAGAAGGCCGAGCAGATCGCCGGCCGCATGCTCCGTTTCTCAGTCTTCTACCGCAACCATCACAAGGAGTACTTCCAGCATGCCAGGTAGGCGACCTCTCCTTCCTCCCTGAGCTCTTCCTCCTCTTGTCCCAGCCGTCTCAAGTTGCCCCACTCTCGCTGGCTGCCAGGTCTTCCTCCGGGGTCCCTCTGTCCTCACCCTTTCAGGCTGGCTCGGTAGTAACCACTGCTTTGGGATTGAGTTCACAGAAGGTCAAGAGCCCTGGGACAGGGCTGCCTGGCAGAGCACAGAGCTAACAAACCCGGAGGAACAGGTCCCAGTTTGATCCCCCTAGGGAGTTTCTTCACCAGATCTACCAGCATGGGTCAGCTATCTCTCTAGTTCAGGACCTGAGACCATGGAGGAGGTAAAGAGAATGCAGAATGAGTTCCGAGCCTGAAGGGTTCTGGGGAGCACCTAGCTCTCTGGCATTCAACCTGGGTGCTGAGGCCCCTGTAGGCTCCAGGGAGGCATCTTGAGACATCTCTTAGGGTGCTGCTGAGGGTCTGGGGATGGGGAGATCTCGGCAGGGTGCTTCCCACCGTCAGCCAGAGCATCACCCAGCCAGAGCAGCCTCCATGTTACCTGCCTGTGACCAGCCTATGTATACATCCCCATGGGGAAAAAGAGGGTTCTGCAGTCCAAGAGTGCTTGAAAATTGATGATCTCATCCAATAACCTCAGCCTACAGATAAAGATCCTGAGGTCCAGAGGGTCCTCCGTTAGCTGGTTAGGCCAGTGAGACACACGTCACTCAGAACAGCCAGGACCAGGGTTTGTCTACCCTCCCCTGTGTCTGATGCTATTGTTTCACATCTATGTCCTTCTAAGCCAGGCCAGGCTGGCTGCAACTGTCACTGTCTTTATCATTACAGGCAGCTGGGGCAGGTAGTGGGAGCATCGTGGGTCTTCAGTGTCTGTACTGAAGAACAGAGGCGGGGGTTCTATTTAAGCTCCCTTGTCACCAAGAAAGAGAGAGACAGGGAATGTCCCTGTGTTCCCTGCTCCTTACAAGAGGCCAGGACACAAAGACTAAAGCAGAGCTCACCCTTTCCAGAACCTCAGACTTGGTCAGTAGGGAAGGATTTAATGTCATAAGTATGTGTAATCATTGAGCAAAATTCAGGATCCTTCTTCATCTAGAAGGCAGCCAAGTTTTTTTTGAGTATTTATAAGTGCTTGATGTTCCTGAAAGAAAAGAGGAACCCCTATGCTAGCCCTTGAAGGACGATTAAGAGTTTGTGAAGCCAGGAGGTGAAGGTTGGGAGGGCAGCCCAGGCAGAGGGAACAGCAATGCAAGATGCGGAGATATGGAAGCAAGAGAGTGGATGTGGCCGTCACCTGTGAAGGTGGTAGGAGGTGGAAAGTGATAGCTGGACCAGAAAGACAGGATGCTGTCTCTCTTGCTAATCGCGATCAAGCCCCACCAGAGAGCTTTTAAAGATGGGAGTAGCCGGTTCAGCTGTCTTCTCAGGAAGGAGAGGGCAGAATGAGTTCCTCTCCAGGGCCCTCCCCTGCTCTTGCATCTGGGACTTCTTGACCACACACGGTGGTCAAGGCTCAGCCCAGCTAACTGGGGGCATTTTCCCTTGCGGGGGCAGGACCCACTGCGGGAACATGCTACAACCCTACCTGAAGGACAACAGCGGCAGCCATGGCTCCCCCACCAGCGGCATGCTCCACGGCGTCTTCTTCAGCTGCAACACTGAGTTCAATACCGGCCAGCCCCCGCAGGACTCGCCCTATGGTCGCTGGCGCTTCCAGATCCCCGCCCAGCGCCTCTTCAATCCCAGCACCAACCTCTACTTCGCAGACTTCTACTGTATGTACACGGCCTACCACTATGCCATCCTGGTGCTGGCACCCAAGGGCTCCCTGGGGGACCGCTTCTGCCGTGACCGCCTGCCCCTCCTGGACATTGCCTGCAACAAGTTCCTGACCTGCAGCGTGGAGGACGGGGAGCTGGTCTTCCGCCATGCCCAGGACCTCATCCTGGAGATCATCTACACCGAACCCGTCGACCTGTCCCTGGGCACCCTGGGGGAGATCAGTGGGCACCAGCTCATGAGCCTGTCCACTGCCGATGCCAAGAAAGACCCCAGCTGCAAGACCTGCAACATCAGCGTGGGCCGCTAGGGACTCCTGGGGAGCTGGGGATCAGGGAGAGATGGCAGGAGGGTGGCTTAGATTTAGGGAGCTGGCTTTCTCTCCCCTGCGCCCTGCTCCCTTGGCTCCGTCTGTCCACCCCACCCCCACCCCTTGGCATCGGAAGCAACCGAGGGTGGTCTTCTTGGTAAGCGTGGCCCAGCCCAGGCCCAGTAGACTTGCAAAGGCTTCTCGGCCTCAGGAGGTCCATGGGTGGGCTGGATTTCTGGAGAACTCCCCTTTCCTTTCCTTTGCTTTCCTTCTCCTGCTCTTTGCCTTATCCAAGCCTCCATCTGCTAGAGCCCTGCCTGCCCCCCAGGCTCTCCTGGGGAAGCCCCTCAGGGCGAAGCCCAAAATGTAGCTTGGCTGCCTCCAGAGAGATGCAGAGAGCTGTGGGGCGCCACCTCCTCAGCCCCACCCACCCCACTCAGGGCCACCCCAGAGAGCCCCCTCCCTGCTGAGCTGGGCCTGGGGCTTCCCACTCCAGGCTGGGACTCTCCCCTCTATAAATAGCCTCCCGCACCGCTGTCATGTCCTGGCTGCCCCTTGCCCGTGAGAACCCTCTTCCTGCATGGGAGAGCTGTCCCTCCCTTCCTCCACCTGTCCACTCCAGATGTCCCCCTGCTCTCTAGAGAGGGAGCCTCTTTATTCTCCTGGCTTCAGGGCCCGGGCTGTTGGGCTTTTCCTTTCTTCTGTCTGGAGATAATATATCCCCCAGCAAAACTTTCCCGGGGCTCACAGAGTGCAGGGGTCTGGAACAGCAGCCACTGGGGTCGAGGAGGGGGAAGGAGACCCCTGAGACCCTGGCCTCAGCCGGACCTCGCTCAATGGGGCCTAGAGAAGTGGAACTAGAGACCTGAAGGCTACCCGCAGAGCCCTGGCACCCTGCCTGGCTGTGTGCTTTGCTTGCCTGCTCTGCCATGGTGCCGTGACCACTCTGCTCTGGGTGTGAACTGACTGGGCTCTTGGCCACTCCAGCCCCTTCGCCTGTCCACTGGCTATTGGCCTTCCCAGCATTCCCCTAGGGCACACCTGGTGAAGCCCTCTCTGGGCTGTTTTCACCTCTTCCTACTGTTGCACAGGTCATGAGGCTGGTGAGGGTAAGCCCCCACCCCTTTACCGAGACAAGCAAAGGGGGCTGGGTGGGCGGCCAGCGAGGTGCTGGTGGAAGCAGCAGAGGGTGACCCCACTGTGACTTTCGCAGAAATGACAGGGATGACAGACAAGCAGCTAGATTTGTGTGATGAGAGACAGAGGGGCTGGCTGGCCAAGGAGGCTGTGCCTGGGTGTGTGGGCAAAAGCTGGGCTGAGCGTGGGGAGGGTGGGAAGGCCTGGGGCCCCAGGGAGGCTTGTGGAGAGAGAGAGAGAGAGGACTTGGGTCCTCAGGCCCTGCCCACCCTGTGTGGATGGCATTGCTTGGGGTGGTCCGATGCCCTTCTCCAGTCCAGCGTCCTCCTGGGCAGGGGTCTCACCCGCCTGTGCTGTGCTTGCGATGTACATCAATAAACCACATGGCCTGAGGCCCTGCCTGTCTTAGTCCATCCAGGCTGCCGTAAGGAAATTCCACAGACCAAATGGCTTAGGTACCGCAGAGGTCCAAGCTGAAGTCACCAGCAGATTGGATGTCTGCCAAGGGCCTGCCTTCTGGGGAGTGGAGAGCTGTCTTTTTCTGTGTCCTCACATGGTGGAAGGGGAACAAGCTCCCTCAGCTCCATTGCCCCGTGCCCTTGTACTGGGGGTTCTACTGGGGATCCCTGGCTGTTGTCATATTTTTATTTTCAGACAAGTTCTCACTATGTAGCCCAAGCTGGCCTCAAATTTCTGATCCTCCTGCCTCAGCCTCTGAAGTAGCTAGGATTGCAGATGTGTGCCATCAGGCCCGGTCCTCAGCCTGTTCGATAAAGGCGCTAATCCCATGCACAAGCCTCCACTCTCCTGACCTAATTGCCTCCCAAAGGTGTCACACCCTAATACCATCTTGGGAGTTAAAATTTCAACAAATGAATTTGTGGTGGGAGGAGGCAGACACTGCAGCCATAGCAACCTCTCTTTGGGCTGGGGTGGGAGGGGCGGAGAGGGCGGGTTGCATAATCCACCGAGGAGTTCCCTCCGATGGAGCCGCCCTCCAGGGTATATCCAGACCCTACTTCAGGAGCCTCAGCAGAGCACAGCCTCATCTCCAGCTTGGGGAGTGCTCTGGAGGTCATCTGCTCTGCCCTGCTCTGCCCTTGTGGAGACACTAAGTCCTAGGGGAAGGATGGGGGCAATCTGGGTCCCCGCTGGGCCCTTGCCACTGCTGCAACCTGCCATGCTTCAGCCCCAAATGCCACCGGTTTTCCCTGTTCCCGCTGGGGTGGCCCTTCCCCCAGCAGGGCTTCTCATCTGCAGATCTGAGTCACCTCTGCATCTATTATTATGGACTTATTAAAATGGTCCTCGGCTGGACTGGAAATGTTCCAGAAGTGTCAGAGGCGCCTTACCAACACTGTCTGCGTCAGGGCCAAATTCACATGCTTCTCAGACCTGGGGGCGAGGCCTCTTTGAGACAGGCAAGAAAGCCAAAGGGCAACTGACCACTTCTGGAGGACCTACTGTGTGCAGCCCTGGGCCTGCACTTCCATGTGCATCAGTTATGTAAGTCTGCATAAAGGCCTGGGGTGCTATTAATTCCCACTTAACAGATGAAGAAACTGAGGCACAAAGAAATTAAAAGGTTTGCCCACATTGTATGCCAGGAAGCCACAGTGCCCAGGGTTTCATTCAGAAAAAAAAAAAAAAAAAAACAGCCATTTTACTGCCCTGTGCTTGGCTCCCCTAGTGTGTATGGGCATCACCCTGGACAGTAGTAAGACAGAGGCCAGGCCTTTCCCAGACACAGCGGCCCTCCCTCACCCTCTCCTGTGCCTTCCCTCTAACCAAGGCTGTGTGTAGTTTCAGCATAACACCAGGGGGTGCTGTGGAGTCGCGAATGCCTTGAAGGTTCCGTTTAAAGGTGAATGGGGAACAACTCGAGGGTCTGTGCCCTTATCTCCGAGCAGGCTTGGCTTCTCAGAGTCCTCCGGAGAGGCAGGCTTTGATCTTCCTTTTGACAGCCCTTTTGGGTTTCTTTGGAAGTGGGACTGGCTCCCAGAATCTTCTAACTGGGGGACAAAGGCAGTGACCAGAGGCAGGGGCTCCGTGCAGGTTTCACTGGAGGGCCTGTTTCTCCTTCCTCGTCCAGATGGCCACTCGCCGGCTCATGGCCAGCCCTGGGCTGCTTGAAGCACCTGTCAGATGGAGCAGGGTCAGGGCATCTGAACAGGGCCAGACTCCATTCCGAGGTCCTTTCTGGCCTGGAGTCTAATCTGACCCAGTGGAAGGGAAGGTCCCTGTTTGAGGCTCATGCATATGCGCATGCACCGGCCCTGTCCCAGGTCCTAGAGGACCTCACAGAACTCCAAGGTGAGAGCAGCCCCGGACCTTAGTAGCTACGTCCAGCCGAGGGGCCCTGAGTTGGCTTTGCTGCCAGTATAGGCAGTGAGGGAAAACAAGGCAGTGGTGAGGAGGTGAGGCTTGAGGTCACAAGTAGGGCGTCCTGCTGTGCAGGCACAAACACACAAACATACCTCGCACAAGCACATGCTTGCACATGCGTGCCCCAAGACACGTGCACCTCCCACAGTCTCCTCTGCCCGGACGCACGCTCACACTCCCCTGCGCATTCGCTCCTCTCAGGCCAGCATCTCTCCCTTTGGTCCTGGGTGGGTGGCGTCCCACCCTCCAGAGCAGAGGGAGTCGAGGTGAGGGCTCAGCTCCCAGCACCCTCAAAGCTTTGTGTGGTCTGGAAATGTGTCTCTTCTCCGCGTCAGGGAAAGAGGCGGCTGGGGTCCCAAGGAAAAGGATGAAGAGGGCCCATTCCCCAAAATGGAGGAGGCCTTCGAGAAGCCCAGCTGAGGTGACTGGCCGTAAAACAGTGTGGCCCCAGCATTTGGAGGAGATTGGAACCAGATGTTCCGGGATGGAGGAGGGGAGGGCAGGGGCAGAACGGCCACTGTGGTCGGCAGGGGGCTGGGGTAGGGGCCTCGCAGTTCCCTGGGGAGAACATCTGGCTGCCCTCTCCCCCAGCTCTCCAAGTGAGGCTCTACTATTTTTGCAAAACTGGAGCAGCAAATCTTTTCACGGATTCCAGAATCAGCCTTGTGCGTAGGGACAGTCAAGTACAGGGTGTAACTTGGGAGGTGCCCAGAAAGGCTACCAGCTGGCCAGAAATGTGTCCCTTACTGCCCACAGGCCCCTCCCTGCTGTGGGGTAATATTGCCCCCTGGCAGGGGCAGCCACTGCTGAGCTGGAAACCAGTGCACCCGGAGGTTTCCTTGCCACCCGGAAATACTGCAGCGCAGGAGAGAAAACTGTCTCATAGAGGGAGGAGGAAAAGAAAACGGGCCCCTTATTAACAGTCTGGTATTTGATGGGCACAGTGACCAGCTTTCCTCAAAGTTCACCTCGTTCCTTCTTCACAACCGTGCTGAATGTTCTTATCATCCCAGGTTTACAGATGGAGAACCTGAGGCTCAGAGAGGGTGAGTGACTTATCCAGAGTCACACAGCCACCCAGTGATACAGGTATGCTTCAAAATGGGCTGTTTACCGTCAAGCTTGTAACTCTGTGGGCCAAGAAAAGGGGACAAAAGGGAATAAAGAAGAGAGCTGGCCATCCACCTTTCTGGTTTGGCAGTTGAGTCAATTGTTGGGCCATGAAGCTGGGACGTCTCCCAAGGGTCCTGGTTACTTCAACAGCCTGGCTCCCTGCACCTCCGCTGCCCTGGAGTCTAGACGTTGGGGTTTCTCATTTGCCTGTGGCTGTGACTGGAAGAATGCTGAGGCTAGGTGACAGGTTTGGGGAGCAGAGGCCCAGGGAGGAGACACCTGGCCAGCGTCCCAGAGCTCAGTGGCAGAGCCAAGTCCTCGGACTGCTAAGGACTGGCGAAGGGGCTGGAGAGAGAAGTCAGCAGCTGTGGGCTGTGCTTGTCTCGGCCTTATGCCACGCTGGGAGCACAGAGCTGAGGTGGCTCTAGCCTAGCCCTCCCACAGCTAGTCCAGGGGGAGCCAGGGCCCACCCAAGACCAGGGGGAGCCAAGGGACCTCGGGCTGGGGGATGGGTGGAGTGCATCTCCTCGCCTCCCTCAGCTGTGGCATCACATGCCCTGCACTGGAGTTGGCCTGCTTCAGAGCCCTGAAGCAGCCAGAAGGTAAAGGCGGGTCGAGCCGGAAACAGTAACTTCATAAATTTCAAAATGTATTTCCTACCCCATCCCCAGGAGAGCCCCGTTCCACACCCTCCACCTCGTCTTCACCCACTATATTGTCTTCCTCTGGTCCTCTCTTGGGACATGTGCCTGGGAAGGCTGCAAGGGCCGGTCCCCAGCCTCCCCCAGCTGCCGTGCTGCTATTCAAAGGGACCCTGTTGGGGTGGAGGAGCAGGTGCTCTGTGGGCTGCAGCCCCTTGGTTTGACAGGGTTATGTTCTTGGCTCCTTCAGGCCTGTGCCATTTGAGCTGGGATTGTGGTCCTTGGAGACCTGGAAGGACCTGGAGAGCTGATATGGAAGGCTATAGCTACTGACTACAGTTCCTGCTGTGGAGAAACCAATGCCAAGTCAGCCTGGAGGAGAGGAGGCTAGCTTCCTGGAAGATGGCCCTACCTGCACTTCCTGTTCTCCATGACTGCTTTCTGCTTAAAAAGCAATGTAAGAACGAATACAGAGTCCACTGTGGCTACTGCTACTGGGAGGCAGATCCCCAAGTCCACACAGCATCTTTCCCTGCAGGAGGGAGGAGCTTAGGGCTACTAAAGGATGCATGGTCCACTGCAGGCTCTCAGGGAGCCAGAGCTTGGGCAGGCTGCCCGGCTTGCTCCAGAATCTGAGCATAGCCAGGCCCGGCGTAAGCGTGTCCTGTCTCTGGTCCTCCATCTCTCTCTGCTCTTTCCCTGAGACAGGCAGGGAGAGAAAGGGGAGGGAGAGCCTCCTTGGAAGGGTGTGGTTCTGTCTCTGTCCCTGGGAGGCACAGGTCCCAGGAGGGAGGGAGGGGGCGATGTCAGGAAGGAGGAGGCTGGACGGACGAGGGTTGCCTGGGGAGAGGGGCCAGAGTTGGAATGTTTGCTCAGTAGCTGCCTAGCAAGCATTGGGCTCTTGTCCCCACAGGAGAGGACCTGCAGGGCCAGCGCTCAGGGTCTGGCGTCAGGAGAGCAGGCACTGGGGGTGGCAAGTGGACCTGTGGTGGCTGATGCTAGTTTTTTGGCTCTTGCTGGGCTCCCCAGCCAGACATGCTCATGGCTCACTTGTTCCTTCCCCAGATGAAGAGATAGAAAAGCCAGATGGTCAAACACGTCCCAAGCCCCTTTTACATACCTCTTCCTTCCCCCCAAAACACACGCATTATAGAATGTTCCACCCCTCCCCCCTTTCCACAAGCAGAGTGCATAGAATGCATGGGTGTGACTTGCTAGCAGACTGTCCTGTAGAGCCGTGTGTGTGTGTGTGTGTGTGTGTGTGTGTGTGTGTGTGTGTGTGTGTTCGCATGCAGGTGCCCAAGTGTGAAATCACACCCTTAGGGGTCCTAGAATTGTGGGAGGGAAGGGCAGCCAGCAAAACCAGGTGTCCTGGCCACATGCCAGCCTCAGACGCCCAGCGAGCCTGCACATCTGGAAGGAGACACCCAGCCCCCACACCCCAGACAACATCTGGCACAGGACATTCACTGGCTGTAACACTTTCAGTTTATTGGCTGGGGTGCCCTGGTGTGGCGAACCAGCCAGTGGGCCTGAGAGAAGCCCTGTCTTGTTTCTCCACCCACTCCTCTCATCTCCCCACGGCGGCTCCTGGGGAGCACGCACCAACACTCCTGCCCCAGGAAACAGAAGTGGGGGTCACGATACAGAGGCTGGAGAAGGGTGGGAAAGGTACATTACAAGGAAGATTACGGGCCACCGGCTATGCACTGTACAGTGTGTAGAGACGGTGGGGAAGGCGGCAGGGTGCTGCTGACACTGCCCCCAGGCAAGGCCCCAAGGGAGGACTGGTCACTTCAAGTGTCTCAGTGAAAGCTCCGGCTCCCTGGCCCTGGCCCCTTGCCCTGGCAGGGGATCGCAGGGAGGTGGCTTATGAGGAGTCCAATTCCTCCGCCTCGGAGGACAGCCTCATCCGGCCTGTCAGCCCTGCAGGTCCTGGCGTCTGGGGGTGAGGGATGCTGTGTCACCTTCCGCCCGCCACCCCCACTGTTCAGTCTAAGTGACTGAGGGAAGCAGGACTCCATCCCGTCCCCATGCCAGGCAGGGGTCACTTCCTGCTGTGGAGTGTGTCCTGGAACTTGGTGCTGGTGTAGCGCAAGTGGAAGCCTTTTTTGGTGATGGTGTCGTCTGAGTGGAATTTCACGAGGACAGAGTCCCCAGCCGAGTACACCTCCTCAGGAGGCTGCAGGAGAAAGGGACAGGCATGAGGAAGACAGCGAGAGGCTGAGGCTTCTCTCTTCCCTGCCCAAGACCCAAACTCTAGGAAGGCAGGAAGCTCCCTGATGCTCACCGGATCCCCCGGCCCCCTGAAGTGGAATTCAAGCCTTGGGAGTTTAATGGGGCTGCTGAGCGAGAGCAGCTTCAGTTTGGAGTAGGCCCTCTATTTTAAACCATCTGTGCTACTAACTAGTTAGCAGAGCAGTCTTGGACCAGCCACCCTCCTCCCCTGAGCCTTAGGTCCCTTCCCTGCACACCACTCTCCAAGCCTAGGTGGGTTGTGGGGGAAACAGCAAGATGGTGAGTGTGGCCGTGTGCAGGGCGGAGGTCACCGGGTGGGTGGCCTTCCTGGTGGCCTAGTGGACTCTCGGAGAAGATGGAGCCGTGCTTTTCTGCCTGTAGGGGCATGGGAAAACCTGCAGGGGAAGCCGCTCCCCACTCCAGAGTCTGGACCTGCCGTTGCTACCCTATCCCTGCGCCTGTCCTGACCCTGATAATGGGCTGTGCCAGGCATGCCCTTCCTAGGTGGCTTCACAAGCCCACAGTGATGCCCTGGTCCTTCGGGCACAGAAGGAATCATTCCTAAGAGCCTTGGAGCCATTTCCAGCAACTGTCCTTGTGGTCCCAGCCTGGCGGAGGTCCCTGGATGAAGGCCCCTGGAGACATTCCATCTGGCATGGGACTCAGATTAAAGGGCAGAGTGAGGCGGGGGCCCTGGCTTGGTAGCTAGGGGATGGCAGAGCAGTTGAGCAGACAGGCTGGGGGGCTGGATGTGCTTCCCACTGCCCACTCCACACTGGCCCAGCTGGTCACACAAGACTGAAGCTCTGCTCCCAAGGGGAGGCTCAGCCAATGCAGGGCCCAGCAGCTGCCACTACTCCCAGAAGGTTTAATCCCTCCTGGGGCACCAGGCTGCCTTGGAGCTGCCATGACTGAGGTGGGGGCCGGGGAGTGTGTTGGAGCGTGTGTGTGAGTGTGGGTGTGTGTGTGTTTGAAAGGTCATCTGTGTGCAGGAAGGGGATGAGAGCATAGAATTAAAACAGATGAGAGAAAAGCGGGGGGGCTGTAAGGTCTCACTGTAGGGAAAGAAAGCCACCATGGGCTAGCCCATGGCCTTGGTAAAAAGCCCATCGAGCTGTGTGCCCGCTGCCTGCTGGAACAGCAGCAGGAGTAGCTTCAGAACAGGCTGGCCTCTCACAAAGGGGAGAAATTGGCAGAGGAGGAGCTGAGAGCATTTTATGTCCCAGCCAGGACTGGTGAGAGCAGCTCAGCTCAGGCCCCAACCTCTGCCCCCCACCCCAGGGCCTGGCAGTGGCCCTGGGACATGGCTGGAAGGCTGTCAATAAGGAGACAGGGCAAACTCTACCCCTATTCGCAGATGCAAGCTGCTCTGCAGGCCCAACCCAGCTGGTTCTGAGGAGGCCTAGGTCAGAGCAGAGCCTGGTGCAGTGGCTACAGGCACCCCTGTGCTGCCCGGAACAGAGGCTGGCTTCCTGATAGGGGCTGGCTTAGCACAGGGCGGCCCCTCCGAGGGACCCACAGACTGGGCATCCCTGCTCTAGCAGAGGGCCAGACACGTGCTGCCATTTGCATTGTGGCCTCTAGCACCACAGGGTCTCAGGATTGGGGAGAGAGGTGAAGGGTAACAACAGGGGGCTGTGAGGCCAGGAGGGTGCTCACCCCTGAGCCGCAGTAGCGCCCCAGCCTGGGGGCCGTGCTGTCGTAGCCATCGAAGAGCTCCATGTAGTCATAGCCACAGTCCGTCTCCTCCTCCACCTCAAAGGTCTGGAACACCAGCTCCACGCCGTAGCCCTCCTCGGCTACAATGACCCACTCACAATCCACACCCCCAGGATAGTTGTTGTCGCCAAATTGAGCATGGGAGTAAAGGTCCTTGGTCTTCACGTCTGCTCGCACTTGGCCTCCACACTCTGCAGCAGACAAGATGGGCCACCACCCCCTGAGCACTGCCGTGTGCCAGGCACTGTGTCATGCCACACTGAACCCTCATGGTGAGACGGATACCAAGGACACAGGCCACGTGGCTGATGATGGGTGGGCTGGGACTTGGCCCAGGACTTGGCTAGAGAAAGTGCTTGGGGCACCAGCCCCGGAGAGACGCCTGAGGAGACGCTGGGACGCTCCAGGGCGAGGGGCCCCGAGCAAAGGGAAGTCTCACTTTGTTGACAAATGACATTTCTAATTTGCTCCAGATGACAACTGTCATGGAAGAAGGTGGCCCAGTGTCACCAGAGCTTTCGTTTTCAAGAGAGAAGCTGTGTGTCTAGGTTTTACGTGAAAACTGAGTTTTCAGTGTTGGTCCAAATGTTTAAAAAACATGCTGTGGGCCAAGTGCTGAGGTCTGTGGGGCCGATGAGGTTTGGCCTCTGATTTGTGACCTTGTGCTGGGCAGGGCAAAAGACAGCACGTAGGACAGGGTCCTCAGTGGCCACTGTCTTTCCGATGCCCTCTGGCCTCTCTCCTGTCCCCTGTGGAGACTGTCGGGACAGAATTAAAGGGAGAAGGGGAGGCTGTGGACCCATCAGCTCTGGGGACCTGTGACAGGTAGCTCAAGACCCAGCAGGAGACTGAAGCTGGTGGCTGAAACCTTGGGTGAATCCCAGTCTCTCAGGATTGGGCTCCAGCCTTTCTCTGTAGCCACGTGGTTCCACTGCACTGCTGTCCTCGAAGACCTATCCCTCTAGCCAAACTAAGTGACTCACTGTCACCCGTGTATGCCCTGAGCTGTGCTGGGGCTTGGTCTCCCCCCCTACTCAGAATGAGGCCACCCTCCCCCACCCACCAGGCCCGGGGCGGGGCGCCTTCCTTCCCGCCCTTATCTCAGGTTTGGTCTCACACTGTGAAAGTCTCCGCTGCCTTATCGGCCTGTGGAACTGCAAGCTGCCCAGTGGGCAGTGGGGAGGACTCATGCCTGGTGGACCACTGTACACCCCTTCATCTCTTGAGTGGGGAAGTCCACGGTGGCTGAATAAGCAAATGAACACAAAGAAAGCCCCTCAGGGGCTGCGGTCTTTGTCTGCTGGGCTCATTTTTGTGATTTGCACTTAGAAGGCTGCCTTGTACATAAATCATGTTAGTAAATATCTGTACAGTAAGTGAACCAGGCCTTCAGGGGGTGGGGTATGGGTGGGCGGATGCATTGACATGCATGGTACCATGGGGAGTTTGGGGGATTCCCTCCTCATTCAATTCCAGGTTCCCTCGCCTGCCCACCCCCAGACATCATAGCCCCCCACCCCACCTACCCCCACCCTATTTTTATGGTGCTGGGGATCGAACCCAGGACTCTGTGCGTGGTAGATAAGCACTCTACCACTGAGCTACAGCCCCAGCACCATTTTCTGCCCTTTCTGCCCTAACCCTGACCTCCTCTGCTCACCCAGTGCTGACTCTGCTCCTCCAGCCTGGTCCTCAGAACACAGTATCTTGCTCCCCCGAGCCCCAGGGCTATGTCTACCCAGCCCTTCCTCTGCTCCATGTGAACCCCACCTGTGCCCTAGGCCCGGCTTCAAAACCAGGACCAGCAAGGCCTCCAGAACAAGGAGTAGCATGAGGACAGTGCACTGGCCTGAGCTGGCCTCACCTGTGGCGTGCGAGGCCTGGAAGCCCTTCCTCTGCACTGAGTTGTCGGAGTAGAAGCGCAGGAACATGCGGCTGCCTGTGGCCAGGACGGGCTCGGGCTTCTTGCTGCCACAGAAGCGGCCGAGGACGGGGGCCTTGGCGTCACGCCCGTCAAACACCTCCAGGTGGTCGTAGGCACACTCGGGCTGAGACTCGATGTCCATCTCCACAAAGGTCTGCAGGGTGCAAAGAAGGAGCGCAGATTCGATGAAGCTAGGTGGGATTCGGGGGCCCCAGACCCAGCCAGGCTTCTGGATTCCAGCTCATGTACTCCCATAGGAGCGGTGACATCTGTGTATTCTGGGAGGCCTCTGTCCAAACTGACTGGTCCTGAGAGAGATGGCAGGCCCGGGGGCTCAGCCAAGCCACCCTGTCCGTAGCCAGCACCCATCCCTCACGGAGGCTTCGGAGAGGACAAGATAGCAGCATATGGCACCGAGAATTGGGGGTGTCCATGTGGGCTGGCGAGCGGGGACCTTACCAGCTTCACCCGGTGCCCAGGGGTGCTGGAGATGGCCCACGTGCACTCCTTTTTGCTGGGATATTTGTCAGGCCAGTTGGGGCTGGTGATAGTACCGCTTGTGGATGTCACCTTGTGGTCACAGCCGGCTGTAGGGATGTGAGTGATAGAGGAGGGTTGGCAGGGACCCCATGCTCCCAGGCCTCCTGTGAAGAAGGCTCTTCCTGTTTCTTGTTCCCTACTCAGGACATGGACTGAAGGCCTCCACCATTTCCTTCCATTGGCCTATGCACCCTGGAGGGAAACTGACTTCGTGCTCCGGACAGAAGCCCTGAGGCCCTGGCGACACCCATGGTAGCAGTCCCGCCCCAGCCCCTCACCCTTGTGGCTCTGGCCATACTGTGTCTTCCACGGAAACCTCATACCAGGAGTGGCCCATGCTCACGCCTTCTCACAGCTCCCCAACCATGAACCTTTGTGCATCCTGACACGGTCACTCACTGCTCCTGCAGCCTCCACAGCCACAGGGGACTTTGGCTCCTAACTCAGTCCACCCGCCCTTCCTCCATCCCAGACACCATCCTGAGTGATGTCAACACACAGGCGGCTGGTCCACCCCACACGACCTCTCCACCTGACTCCTCAGCTCTGTCACTTCTTATCTTCCTTCTGAACAACCTCAACCCAAGCTCTGCCACCAACACATCACTCTCTGTGCAGCCACCTTCCCCGTCTCCATGTGCTCAGGTCCCCTTTTCTTGACAATGGTTACTCCGTTTTAAGGAGACCTCCACAGTCTTGTTCTGTTTTCTCTCAGATAGATGTCCCTCCATATATTTGTTCCTGGACCTTGGGAGGATTCCAGAACCTTGGGTTTTCAAATATTCTATATAAAATGGAATAGTATTTGCATAGATCCTACACACATCCTCCTGTCTGCTTTAAATGGGCTCTGGATTACTTACATAATACCTAGCACAATATAAATGCTATATAAATAGTTGTTACACTGCCTCGTTTAGGGAATCATGACAAGAAGAAGTCTGCACCTTTTCCATACAGACACACACAGTCACTGTAGGCCTAACCATATTTCCAATCTGAGCGTGGTACAACCCACAGGGATAGAGCCCATGGAATCAGAGGGCCAATTGTTTCCCCCCCGGGCAGACTTACTGACTTCCCTCTCCAGCAGGACAAGACTGCTGATCACCCAACTGCTCAGTGACACTGCCTGTCCCTTGGTGCCCCTTCATGCTGTCTTTCAACCTTAAGAAACCCCGTCTCTGCTGTCCAACCTCACCACGGCCTGCAAGTCACCACTCTTCAGATCTGTCCTTGGCTAGCTCTATCTCTCCGCTCCTCAGCAGCCATCCCCAAACCTTCAGCTCTTCTTCCCCTCAGGCCCTTCTTAACTCAGCTGCAGCCTACCTCTCCTCACACCCCAGCTTCCTGCCTCTTCTCTCCATCCCACAGGAACCCTCACACCGCAAAGGACGCACTGTCCCTCTCTCTCAGCCCTGAGCCCACAAACCTCAGGGCACCCTCAGGTAGCTCTCTCCTGAGCCTCCTCCTCCGGCTGTGGCTCTTCTTCTTTCCTGTCCTTCCCAACCAACCTTCAGAAAGTTGGCCGTCACCACATTCTCACTACTTCTGTCTCCTCAATCCACAGCAGTGTGACTTCCTCCTTTCAACAAGTGTGGCCTCCCAAATGCATATTCAAAAGCCAATGAGCACTATTGAGGATTGTGCCCTCCAGCAGCCAGTGCACAGTGGAGCCAGAAGAAAAAGATGTGGGCAGGATGCAAGCCACACAGCTGGGGCTCGAGTCAGAGCCGCTGGGGAGGCCACTCAGCCTATCTCCTGCGCTGAGCTGTGGGCCGTTCCCATTGCCCACTCATAGTTTCATGTGGCTGCTCTGCCCTTCCCGCCCCACTCTGGTCTCCCTGTTCTCTGTCTCCCTTGTACACACAAGGGAGTGTCTCTCCTCAGCAAGGCCATAATATCCCTGGGTGCAGGGCCTCTCCTCTCTTAACTCCCCTACAGAACTCTCCATAGAAATCAGGAGATCTGTCATTAGCCTACACCCGAGTGAGGGACCATGAGTGCTTCTCAAGGGACCCAGAAAAAAAGCAGATGAACAGGCCCCCTTCCCCGAAGTTCACAGTCTCTCCTGGCTGTCTTGATGCTGCTCTTTATCAAAGCTCCCCTTTCAAGAGCTCCCTTTCCAGAGGTAGAATGCAGCGAAGTCAGCATCAGAGCAAGACCCCTTCTAGCTTGAAGCCTGCGGAGCAGCGTTTGTGCTTTTAACCACTATCTTATCTGGCCTGCATGCTGGGGGGAGGTCATGGCAGACAGAAAGACCAGTGACACGGTTTTAAGAAGCACTAACCCCCAGAAGGGTCTGAAAATAGGGCCCCAGGGCAGCAGTGAGCTCCTCTCTGCCTTGGTAGGAAGAGAAGGGACTTCGTGCTGCAGATGTGAAGTGAAATGCAGCCCCCTCAAGGTCACGGGCCCACGAGGACAGACCAAGCTCTTCATGTCCTGATGCCCACCCAGCACAGCAGGAAGCCGCTGCAAGCTCTGGCTGCCCCACCATCACCCTGGTCTCTGTGCAGCCCTAACCTTCTTTGCAGTCATGCTTGTTGTCGTGGAGGACGAAGCCACTGCGGCACTGACACTCGTAGCTGCCGAAAGTGTTGACGCAGTCCTGCTGGCAGCCGCCGTTGTCCTTGGAGCACTCGTCCTTGTCTGCAAGAGGCAATAAGGGCAAGGAGTGTATGTGGGCTCTGCTCTGGGCTGAGGGCTGCTGGCCCCGGGGGAAGCGGGAGGCCCGGCTGGGCTTCCTCCTATCGGCACAGCGCAGGAGCCAGCAACAGCCAGGGGACCAGGTGGGGAGAGGAAACCAAGGCGATGACAGGGTCCCGAGCACTGCATCAAGCGGAGCCAGCTGAGAGGAGCCCAGCTGTGGGGAGAGAAGGTAGGAGTGGGTGGAGGGAGGGTGGGGGTCTGGAGCTGATCAGCACAGGGACCTCTACCATTACCTGCTTACTGGACAGACGGACAAGTGGAAAAACAGACACATGGACAAGCAGACTGCAAGAGAAAGGAGCAGGACGCAGGGGTCCCTCTTTACTTCACAACAGGAAATGTCACAGACACCATCAAAATGGGGAGGGGGAGGTGCCCCTGTCGGCTGAGGGGGACAGGGGAGGAGAGGAGAGCACCAGTTCTGTGCAGCCAGAGGAGGGGCCGGCCGGCAGAGCCGAGGTGGGGGGCGGGCGGGCTCTGAAGGCCCCAGCCCACTTGTCCGAGGTGAGCTTCCTGAGTAACGAAGGGTCTGGGGGGCCTGGTAGGCCTCACTGGGGGGTCCGGTTTCTTTTCTGCACTCGGTATTTGAGCTGCTGGGGGCGTCCCCGAGGGGGCTGCAGAGCTGGCCTTTTTTCTGAAACGAGAGAGAGAGAAGGAGAAAAGGGACCAAGGGGTGGAGGTGGAGGGCAGGGACCAGGGAGGGAACTCAGTGATAACCACACCCAGGGCCTGAGGCAGGGGCAGGGTGGGAGGGCAGGCGGCCACACATGCAGCACGGCCATGTCCAGCAGCCAGGTCACGGAGGGCTGGGTTAGCAGGTGGGAGGAGGCGCAGCGACAGGGGCCGGAGACTGAGCCCGCTCAGGGAGGAGGCCTGGAGGGACAGCACGGCGGCGGGTGTGCACACTGGGGCCAGAGAAACAGGGAGTCGCTGGCAGAGGGAGCAATGTGTGCAGAGGGCGGGGTGAGGACTCTGCTTGCACCCCCAGATGGCAGCTGCATCTACAGAGTGTGAGACACAGACACACGCGCTCACACAAATGCACACAGGCAGACTCCTGCATCACCCTGTCCATGCATGCATAACTGTGCTCCAGACTGGGTGACAGACAAACACATGGCACAAACACACAGACAGACACACGTCCACGTTGTGCCACGCACACGCAGACTGGAGATGTAGCCACACGTGTACCGCCGCCTGTCCAACCTGTGCCCACGCACACACAGGAGATACATGTGATCTACTCCCACATATGTGCAGGGACGCGTACACAGGCAGGAACACAAGCAGGCACAGATGTACATGGCGAGATGCACACACAAGTGCTGGGAGCTGGACATGGGCATGTACACACTCACATACACACACATGCACAGATGCACAGGCTCACCAGCGGCTCACTCACACATGGAGCTGCTCACACACCTGCGCACGCACACTCATATGCATACACACACAGGTGCACTGACACATGGGCAGGGACATGGTCATAACACATATAAGCCACAGCCACATATTCTCAGGTCTGTCTGTGGTCACTTTGGGGACTGCGTGCCTGGCACAGAGGCAGGCACTCAGGGCAAGTGTGGGGATCCCAATGGACACCCAGAATTCTAGAAATGAACCCAAAGTGGATAAATGCCTGCTGGCATTGGGCTGGTCAGGTGTCCCTGGTCTGTGGCAAGGGACCCTGCTCCTGGGCTCCCTCAGCATAGAACCCAAGCTGGAGCATCGACTCCCAGAAGGCCCTGCTTTCCCCAGCCAGACCTGCTGGGCTCATGGGAACACAGGGCTGTGGGGTGGAGCCCCCAGGTCCCCTCCTGAGGGATCCTTCCCTGTTCTGCAGAGGGAAGTCTGCTCAGGGCCTGAGGAAGCTGCCTGTGCCCTTTGCATTAGCCTGTGGGAAATATGGGACGAGGGGTACCCTAGGACCAGTCCTGGGGTTCACTGTGGACATCCTCTTGACTCTGCTGGAAGCTGCAGGGGGCTCAGCTCATGACTGAACAAGACTTCCCTAACATGTTTGACTCCCTAACTTCCCCAGCCCAAACACCTCATGCCAGCTTCTGGCACACAGTAGGGATAAAATACTCATGGAATGAGTGAGTTAATGGATTCGTGTGTGGCTGCAGAAGGAGGGAGAGAGGGTCAGGCCTGAGGGCGGCTGCCTCAGTACCCTGGAGAAGGGGCTCTGGCAGGGCAGGGGAGTGGGCAGACCCACCTCAGCACCAGGGAACAAGTGGCAGGAGGGGCGGGGGCAGGGGGAGGTGGCTGTGGGCCCCACAGGGAGATGGCACTCACCCTACAGTGCCCAAATGCCCCGGAGGTGCTGGGGTCAGACCGAAGGTCTTCAGGCTCTTGCTTCTCCTTCGTGGCTTAGGGTCTCCTCGATGGGTGTCCCAAAAGTCCAAACAGCCCCCCTCCTGGGGGGCCTGGCTCAAAAGCCCCAGGCCCCAAGGCTGAACCTTGATGCCCACCGGTGAGGGTCCTCTGCAGATTTCTTGTGCGACAGGGCAGTGTGTGTGTGCGTGAGTGTGAGCACATGTGAGTGCACCTGTGTGCGCATGTGTTTTGTGCAGGGCCGAGTGCAGGGTGGGCATCATGGTGTGCGGGGCGGGGACAGGGCAGTAACTCCAGACCTGGTCCCCTGCCCCCTCCAAGACTAGAGCAACAGAAGAGCAGGCAAAGACACGAGTAAGCAGGTAATGGTTCCCCTGAGGCAGAACCCACTCTGAGCACATATTATGTGCCCTCCACCCTCTGGCGAACACCCTGCAAGACTTTTGGGGGTGCCCAAGGCAGGAAGGGATTGGCATCACATCAAGAGGCAGGGAAGAAGCTCTTTAAGCCAAGCAGAGCAGCTGGCAGTGCCAAGCAGGGAGCCAGAGCCCAAGGGCAGGTGCATGGCATCCAGGTGGGGAAGGCAGGGGTGCAGGGTGGCCACAGGGGGTGCTGAAGAGTGCAGGACCCTGGGCAGGGAGGGAAGTGGCAAGGATGCAGCAAGGATGCGGCCCTGGGCTTCCTGCCCACCCTATGCCCAGCCCACCAGGAGTTGGGGGTGAGGGTCCCTGGGCCACACCCACAAAACCACCTGCTGCAGCTAATCTACGGGCTCCCCGCTCTTTCCACACTCCACTCCAGAGAGCTCCTGCTCTTCACTGCCTGAGTCCTGCCTGGGCCCTTTTTTTTTTTCCTGGTACCAGGAATCGAACTCACGACCTCACGCTTGCCAGGCAGGTACTGTGCCACTGAGCTAAATCCCCAGCCTCCCTGGGCCCTTTTCCCTCTGGAGGACACCAGCTGCCATGCAGCCTAAACCCAGCCAAAGGGGAAAGGGACAGGTCTCTTGGGATGCTGCTCCTAGAGGCCAAGGGGGATGGTGTTTGCTGACTACCATTTACAAGACTCAGAGAGAGCCAAAGAAGGCCAAGAAACTGGAGCCCCAACCTTATGTGGGGCAGCTCTGAGCACATGAGGCTGAAGGGAGTTGAGTGCCCCTGTGGGCAAGGAGGGGCTTTGGTATCCCAGGGAGGGAGGCGACCTCTCTTTTTGGAAGACTTCAGTCTGAACCTCTCCAGTTTGTGCGGGGTCTGCGTGGAGACTGGGTGGCTTCCAGATAGTCTGTCCCACACGGTCCAGGGCAAACAGCCTCCTCTTCCCCATCTGCCTTGTGTCCTTGGCCAAACTGAACTCCCTGTTCCCAAGACCTGTCCCTTCCGGGGTCTTGGCCGCAGGCTCCCACTATCCAGAACGTCCTCCCCTTCATCCCTGCCTGTGTCTGTCTGTCTTTCTCAGCCCTGGTGCCATTATGACCTTTAGGACTCAGAGTAATGGGATCGAGACCCTGGTGGGGCTGGCCTGGTAGGCACAAGGCATGGTGGAGAGCAGGGGGTAGGCCAGGCGCAGGGAGGGCTGGGGTGCAGGGACAGGGGGAAGGGGAGCCCTATTCTCTGAGGGGAGGCAGGGCTGGAAGCTAGGCAGTCCACGGATACCTGAGAAAAAGTGGGCCTTGAAGCCCTTTTTCGACACTGTGTTGTCGGACTTGAACTCCACGCGCATGTTGTTGTATTGGGAGGTGATGACCTCGGGCTTCTCGGAGCCGCAGAACTTGCCGTGCAGCTTAGAGTCGGCAGTGAGCCCGCTGCGCACCTCCACGAAGTCATACTTGCACACCTGCAAGGGGCCCAGCTCTGCTGCCTCTTCCAGAAAGCCTCCTCGGACCACTTCCACCCTGGGGAAGGCCCATCCTGCGGATCCTTCAGCCTTCAGTTATCTACTCCCCCACTGGGTGCGCCTTGGTGCTCCACAAACCCTGGTGTCAGCCACACACGCTGTGTCACTCCATGGGCTATGACTTGATGTGCTTCATTCCTAACTGCCGTGTGTTCCTTCAAACACCTCCCCACCTCCCATGCGCCCTCCTCTACATTCACAGAGCCTTTCTTCTTGGTGTTTTCTGGAGGGTTAGAGGCAGGCCCAGAGCTGGGCCCTCATGCCCCACACCTTTTGCCCTCCTCGGCCCTGGGGCTGGGGGTCACTTACATCGTTGCCCTCTGTCTCGAAGAAGTCAAACTGCAAGGAGATGCGGTACTGGGTGGGGGCCACCAGCTGCCAGATGCAGTTTTTGTTTGGAGGGTACTCCTTCGGCCAGCCAGGGCTGGTGATGGAGCCATTAAGCTTGGTGAGGAAGCCACCACAGGCAGCTGGGGGGACAAGGGAGGTGGTATCACCCACCGGAGTCCCCGCTGAAGGCAGGGCCCGAGCCCACGCTGGGATGCAGTCGGGAGATGGGGGTCTGTGAGTGCCCCACCCCGGAGCATGGGACAGATGGGAGGGGTGAGGCCAGGTGGGGGGCTCCAGAGATGGCCTGGAAGAGTGAGTAGAGGAGCTGAGGGGATACACACATGGCCACTTCTGCCTCCTCTGCTGGAGAACAGGACAGGACTCTGCAGAGCAGAGGGGCGGCGGAGGTGGGGGAGGGTAAAGGGAGGGGCTCTGGGAAGCACGCAAAGAGGCTGCTCAGAGACACAGCAAGACCATCTGAACTGGAGCCCCCAGCCTAAAGTGCTATCACTGGCACCAGGGGGCATGTACAGAGGAGCTGAGATTCAGCCAAGAACAGTGGTTTACAAACTGCGGATTGTTACCCTCTAGTGAGCGATAGTATCAATTAGCAAATCAAGATCAGCATTAACTAAAGAGAAAGAATAAAAACCCCAAAGCCAGTGTGCATCACACTGACACCAGTGGTCCGGAGGTGCAATCAAAAGCGCACCTCTTAGCCACGAGCTGGGAACAGAGTGCCAGCGGACTGTTCCGGTTTCCCCAGGAAGGGGCCTTCCAAGGGCACACAGAGGGGACGGGGGTCCGCAGACGATCTGGCACTCACCCTCGCAGCGGCGCTTGTCCGGGGCCAGCTCGTACCCAGGGTCACAGCTGCACTTGTAGCTGCCCAGCGTGTTCAGGCACCGCTGCTCACAGCCCCCGCGGTTGGGCCGGGAGCACTCGTCCACTTCTGTGGGAGAAAAGGGGTCACAGACCCCAGGCCAGGCCGTCTGCCCTGCTTGGCCTCTGCTGGAGCTTCCTGCCACCACCCCAGCCCCATCCCTGGGAGCAGTCAGCTGTGTCACCTGTCTGCCTAGTTGAGCCCCTCATTTTCCAGGGCTGCTCAGAATCGCACAAGTGGACCCCACAGGGCCTTCCTTCTGGGCACCCAGGCTAGCGGGTAGCCTCCACCACATCTGCCATTTCTCCTTTAGTTTTTCCATGAAGGCTGTGGTGCTGGCTGTGTGACTGCACCTATTTTATTTTATTTTATTTTATTTTATTTATTTATTTAATCTTTTTGAGACAGGGTCTCACTATGCAGTTCAGGCTGGCCTTGAGCTCACTTTGTAGCCCCGGCTGGGCTCAAACTCACAGTGATCCTCCTGCCTCAGCCTTCCTAGTGCTGAGATTACAGGCATGTGCCACCACGACTGGCTCCCTATTTTATAGGTGAGGACCTAAGGCGCAGGGAGAATGTCTCACCTGAGGATACACGGAATTAAAAAGCCTCACACTGAAGCCAGGTGTGGTGACACATGCTTGTAATCCCAAGGAGGCTGAGGCAGGAGGATGGTGAGTTCAATGTCAGCCTGGGCTACACAGTGAGTTTAAGACCAGCCTGAACTACAGTCAGACTTTTCTCAAAAAAAAAAAAAGCAAAAAACCTCACTCTGCCTGTTGTCCCCAGAGCTTGTACAGCCTCTACTCCCCATTGAGGTTAGGCTTTGCCCCCAAGTCTCCTTAAGAGTAGGGCCTCAGCATCTTCCTATCACTTACACCCTTCGTAGAGCTCTGCGTTGAATGAGTGAATGGAGAAGGGAAGAAGAGAGGAAGGAAAGAAGAAAGGAAAGAAGGGAGGGAGGGAGGGAAAGGGTTGGCCACAGGAGGAACACCACGGGCACCTTTAAAAAAGTTGACAGCAAAGCCAGCCTTGTTAATGGATCCATCAGAGACGAACTTGAGCCAGAGGCGGCTGGACGTGCTCTTGATGTCGTCAGGCTTCTCATAGCCGCAGTAGCGCCCAATGAGGGTGCTGCTCTCGCTGTGCCCATCACGCACTTCCAAATAGTCATAGGCACAGCTGTCGTGGCGCTCGATCTAGGGGACAGGGGCCGGGTCAGAGGAGGGAACCTTGGCAGTCCCCGGAGGCTGCAGAGGGGTGGGCTGTCCCGGAGGGCAAGGGAGGACTCAGTGGTCAGACCCCAGCATCTCTGCCTACCTCGAAGGACTGGAACGTGAGGCCCACGTGGAAGCCCTCGGACACCTGGATCCGCCAGATGCACACCTTGCTGGGCCGGTAGTCGTCCGGGTAATTGGGCGACTGGATGTGGCCGTTATCCTTTTTCACATCACCCCCACAGATGGCTGTGGACACAGGGTGAGGTGGGAAAAGCGGTCAGCTCTGCCCTGCTTGAGAGCCCTTCCCGGCTTCTCCAGCCTTTCCCAGGTGTCTCCGTTGCCCGCTCCACCTATCCCACCTGCCCCTGCTTGCTCCCTGGAGGACCCACAACTGTGCCCCTTGAGTGGCAGGAGGAGGGGCTCTAAGACGCTCAGGGACTTCCTATCGCACCCCCTCCCCCCTCCGTACCTTCATAGACAGCAAAAAAGCCTTTTCCAACCCAGTTGCTGCTGCTGCGGAATTCAACCCAGAGGCGGCTGTCGGTGGACACGATGGGCTCAGGGAGTTTGCCCCCGCAGAACCGGCCTGCAGATGCACGCACAGAGGAGCCCTGAGCCCTACGCTGTTGCAAAGAGGCCCCACAGCTCCAGGGAGCTCAGGACTCAGCCCTGGCCTGCAGCCACCCCTGCTACACACATTCCTAAAACCATGCACCCACGGATTGGTGCCTAGCTCATCCAAGGTCCAGCTCGGCTGAGCAAAGGGATGGGACACGAGTGTGTCTGGGGGAAAGGTGGATCCTGATCATATCCGACTGCACGTGTTTCACTGAACTTCATCATCGTGACTGACCTGTCCTTATTTGGTCTTCAAGCAAAGACGTAACGATGAAGAAAGCAGCAGAGCTCTCGCTGCACATTAGGCCCTGCTCTCATAGGGAAGCCTTCCTTATCAAACTCAGGGGAGGCCCAAGAACCTCAGCAAACTTCCGAATCAGCCGACTGAGTCAGAAAACAAAACCCAGCAAGGGTCAACATGAGGGGTGAGGTTGGCCGTCTGTGGAATTCTCTGCCGTCAGGCATCGACTGGGAATGATTTGTGTGTTCCTAATATGGCTAGGTGTTTCCCAACTTCCAGCAAGGGACGGAGGGTGCTGGCCTGGGAATGTCAGTTATAAGCAAGAAACTGCATCTTGGAGACACAATCAAGTTGCAGAGGAAGTGTTGTAATGACAGCTGCTTTGGGTGACTAAGGCAAACTTTTGGAGTATCAGAAACGGGGGTGGGGGGGTGGTGGTAGCAGAAATCCGTCCCACTTCCTGCTCAGGTCGTAGAGCAGATTGCCAGGCAGTCCTGGGATCCTCAGGATAACGTACAGATGGGAGGAGGAGCATCCACAGCTCCTCCGGTTCAATGCAGATATCCTCTAGCGACGGTATGTGCTGTGCCCCAATTCCCTGTCTGCGACAGGGCCTTCTGTGCCCTGTGGGTTTGACCCACTTAGCCCTGCTTCCTCCCCGCTCCACCCATCACTCACACACAGGGCCAGGACAAAGTGTCCAGTGTACAGGGTTGGGCCACCATGGCAGGTGTGAAGCCCTCTGAAGTGAGTGACCGGCCAGCCCAGCAGGTTTACGAACTGCTTTTGAGCCAGGCTGCACCGTGTGCACCAAGACCTGGTCACTGAAGCCTCTGAAATCACCCAATGAGGAACAGAGCCTGGAGCTGTGGGGATGTGCAAAACAGTCTTCCGCTCTCCGTCCACCTTCTGAGGGAAGCCACAAGCAGGGATGAGATGTGCCCATAGCCATGCTGCTCCTAATGAAGGAGTCAGCCAGGACAAACTACACCAGAACTCCGAGTCCCATACCAGGATGCCGCCCTATTCTAAGAAGAAATCAGACCAGTGTGGTGACACTGCCTGTAATCCTAGTATTGAGGCAGAAGGATCACTGTGAGTTTGAGGCCAGCTTGGTATACATAGTGAATTCAAGGCCAGTCTGGACTATATAATGAGACCTCATCTCAAAAAAATAAAATAAAAAAATAAGAAAGACTCAGGTACCAGGTAGTGGGGAGTGCAGGGACGCCTTTACCTCGGAGGGGTGCCTTCCTCCAGAAGCCGTCACGCACTTCCACGTAGTCGTACCAGCACAGGCGGCTGCGGTACAGGTCCATCGACGTGAAGTTCAGGATAATCTATGGGGATGGGAAGAGGGTTACCCCGCACCCACTTCCTTGGGCCAGCCACGTGACACTCTTCCCCCGATACTCGACAGGTAGCCAAGGCTAAAAGGGAACAAATCTGCAAGCTGTGGTCAGCATTCTTCCCAAGGGCTAGGCCAGTCCCTGCTGAAAATGCATGCTCCCGGATTGTGTCACAAAACACAAGGGAGACACCGGGTTCCTTCCCTGCCTTGCCATCCCTAGTCAGGGACCACCTCAGCTCCTCCCGTCAGTATAAGTAACAGTGTCTTTAACAGGAAACCAGCTTCCCCAGTGCTAGAAAGGCCACCGGATGGCCTGATGGTCCTAGAGGTCTGAGAGGAGATGAAGGTGCCAGAGAGGAAGGTGCAGCGGGCAGGAAACTGAGTCCCCCATCATCGCATGTTTACTGGGTGCTGATCCTGGGCAAGGCGGCGCCAACTGTTCAGGGAAAACCACAACTAAATCAATCCCCAGAAAGTGTTTAAGGTAAGTCTGTCCGCAAGGAGCTGAGGGCACGAAGATAAGACATAAGCATGCATAAACATGCGGTTAAAAAATTCAACCTCGGGGCTGGGGATTTAGCTCAGCGGCAAAAGCGCCTGCCTGGCAAGCACAAGGTCGTGAGTTCGGTTCCCGGTACCGGAGAAAAGCCCAAAAAAAAAAAAAAAAAAAAAATTCAACCTCCAGCCTTGAGCCTGGCTCTGAATCTCAGCCTTGCATTTCCTGCTGGGAGTTCTTGGATGCACATCCAACTCCCGGAGCCCCTGACTCTGCCATAGCCCTCCCTGGGGACAGGCACGGTCCTCAGTGGCTCCTCGACAGCAGGCTCGGACCTTATCAATGCTCACTTCACACTGGAGGAGCCAGCGGTGAGCCCCTGGGCGAGGACACAGACTGTACGAGCCCCTCGCGAGCCTACTCGGAGCACTTGCTGTGACCTGCAAGGTGCGCATGGTGGATACAAAGGGGCCTGAAGGGTTGTCCCAGTCCATGCAGCGGGGGCAGCACGTCTGCCTCCTCTCTGCCTTACTGGAGAGTTAGATGCAGACAGAATGGAGACCAACAGGAAGCAGATCCCAAGGCGGGCGCTGGCACCTGCCGCCTGTGTCAAGGTGAGTGCCGTTCCTGTTCAAGGAAGAGCCTCAGACTGCTGATCTCAGCACTGGTGACTGGAACACCCACCTAGACGACCCACCTACTTCCCGGCCTCTGTTCTGTGACCCATCTCTCTGGAGCCCTGTGGCCACACCTCGGCACACCATGCCCTGGCCCCGACACCCCAGGCAAGCCTGTGCCCCTCCTAATCGCCATCCCCAGGGCCCGCTCTGCATCCCTGTCGCCGTCTTTCCCACCTCACTCCCCCAACAGCTCTGATGGTGACCCCGAGAGACCCCTGGGCCAGTGGGGCACTTTGGTCACTCTTACCTGCTCCTGTTCACTCCTGGCCCTGCCCAGCTCAGTCCCCCACCCCTTTCTCCTTCCTTTCTTGATTTGCCTTTTGTTTTGTCTTATTAATTCCCACATCAGTTTACATACATTTACATTATTAATCATGATGTCCTGAGACATAACTACATGAGATCACGCTTCTGGAGAGTGAACCATATGTGACTCTTGATTATTACCAGTTATCATCATTTAAGGTTGTTATTATTGCTACTGTTGATGAGTCCTACCATTTTCAAACACTGAAGTTGCAAATCCATACCAGCCAGCCAGCACCTCATTATCTGTTTAGAAAATGATCAAATGTGACCATAGAGGAGGCAGCAAACCTGTGGACAGCCTGGTCAGTCCTCCTCACACGTGAGCTCCACTCTCGCTGCTCTGCTCCGCGCTGTACTCATGTGAAAACCAGGGACATTCAACTGCTGCCTGCTGGGCCTTACCCAGAGGCCCGCAGGAACCCAGAGCAATGGTCTCCAGGCTCTGGACTCCAGAATACCTCCTGCTGCAGACAAGCTCTCCACATTGCCCCTCCTCTACTCCAGCCACCTCTGCACTGTATCGTGATCCTACCATCACCTTGGCCTGGGATTGGTCCAAAGTCCTAGCTCTTAACCTTGCCCCTAACCAAAACAACCAGCACTGAACTTTTATGATGCAAATAAAATCACTCATCCCCCTTGTTCAAAATCCTTTAGGGCATGTGACTCAGAGTCAAATCCAAAGTCTTAAACATGAAGGTCCTGTTACCTCTCTAACACCATCTCTCCCACCTCCTTGCTCACTCGGCCCCAGCCACACTGACCTTGCCCATCCTTAGACACCCTCAGCCACACCAAGCCAACTTCAGGGCCTTTGCATTTGCCAGCTAGGACCTCTGCCCAGGTATGTGCTGTGTGTGCCCTCACCTCCTGCTGGTTTCCACCACTCTGATACAAATGAGCCCGCCCCCAACCACCCACAAGAATCAGGAGCCTCAGTCCTGACCTTGTCCTCCCTCATGCTGATGCCCCCAACACTCACCACCCTCCACCCACTGCACAATGACTTGTTTGTCTGCTTATTGGCTGCCTCTCCTCACCCCGTACTCAAATGTAGAGAATTTCATTTCATTCACCACCAACTTGACACATGGCATGTTGTTGCTGCTTAAATGTAATTTTGCCTTTAGGAACCTACTTTACAGACAGATTTGCCTAAATTTATAAAGATAGAAATCCAAAGATATTCATTAGAAAAGCATGGGGGTACATGACTGTAATCTCAGCACTCAGAAGGCTGAAGCAGGAGGATCATAGTGAGTTCACGGCCAGCCTGAACTACATAGCGAGAATACAGATTTGCAGGAGGTGACTGAAAAACTAACTGAGGGGGAATCAAAATGACGGAATGCTAAGCAGCATGGAAAGGAAAAGGGTAAATCTCTATGAGCAGACGTAACAGTGATGTGGTTCATTGTTAAGGGCACAACAACTGCAGAAGACTGGATGTGTGTGTTTAGGTCAGGATCTAGAAGGGCACAAGTGTTCCCGATGCTTAGCTGCCTCTAACGAGTGCGATTTGGAGGAAGATCAAGAGGGCGAATATTCACTTCTTTCACTTATGTACTTCTAGACTGTTCAAAAATTTTACAATATATACTTCTTAAGTACCTAAAAAATGACAAAAATACCTCAAAAAGTGATGCTGGCTGAAGGTACTAGTGCATACCTGCAATTCCAGCACTCTGGGGGCTGAGGCAGGAAGACTGCAAGAACAATTGAGTAATTCAATTCAAGAACAGCTTGGGTAACTATTAACTTAGCAAGACCTTGTCTCAAAAAGAAAAAGTTAAAGAAAGGGGATGGGGAGGAAAAAGAAGAAGAAAGAGGCTGGGGATGTAACTCAGCGTGAAAGTCCTGGGTTCAGCCCCCAGTACAAAGAAAAAAAGTCTGGATGGAAGAAGGAATTCAGAATTCAGTGTGCGTTGAGTGCACGCTGGCTCCCAAAGTCACCCCCTCACCACGCCTCCACTCTGCCCCAGGCCTGTCAAGGTGCAGGAACCTTTGCATTTGCTACCTGGGAGCTCTGCTCAGCTATGCGCTGGGTGTGCCCTCACTTCCAGATGGTGATCCCTCACTCAAGGAAGGGATGTGTGCTGGCGGTGGGGAGCAGCCTCAGGAGGCACAGCGCCAGCTATACTGGGACTAGAGGTGTCTAATTAAGACTTGTACCGACTTCTGTCATGTGGAAACAGCTGTGCCCTGATGGCAGGGGCACTGCCCACTGCCAAAGAAAACCTGGCCAGCTCTACCACTTCCTGGCTGGGGACTTCTGCCAAGGCCTGGCTTCCGGGAACCCTTGTCTAAAAGATGGAGGTGGGGGCTGGGGATTTAGCTCAGTGGCACAGCGCCTGTCTGGCAAGAGCAAAGTCATGAGTTCGATTTCTGGTACTGGAAAAATAAATAAATAAATAAATAAATAAAAGATGGAGGTGGTCACAACGGCTGCCCTGGGGAGTATGGAAATTAATGACCTGAAGGGTAAGTGACTCCTAGAGCACCTGCATGTAACAATGTCTCCTTGCGCTTCTTGGATGCACCAGAAATAATAGAACACTTGGCTTTTTAAGCAGGCAGGCGCTGTGCCACGAACCATGTCGCCCTGGGCCACTCACTATCTGGCCTCCACGCGGCCTTAATGTACAACCACAGGCACCTCACTGAACTCCTGGACACCTCTGTTTCCTTATTTGTAACAGGGTAATGATTACGGGACCCGCCTCATAGGGTTTAGGGGAATTATGTTAATGTGTATAAAACTTACAGAGTCTGGTACATGGTAATTGGTCACTAAACGTGAACCTTAGTTAGCCCAAGATATTTTGATTTTTTTTTCCAGTATTGGAGATTACACCCAGAGCCTTTGCACTGAGGTACATCTCAGCTCTTCTTTCTTTTTTTATTTTGAGACAGCATATTGCTAAACTGCCTGGGCTGGGTTCCAACTTGAGAACCTCCTTCCTCAGCTTCCCATGGGCTGAGATTATAGGCATGTACCACCATGCCCACCTAAGATATTTTGATATTTGAAATGGTTTAGACCAGAATCCTAAAAGTAGAGCAGGGTAAGCAGGATGCCTGGGAAAGCTGACCAAGATTTACTAATTCAATGTATCAGAAACATAGAAAACTTAACAGCAGCTAATATTGGTTGAACTGTCACTATGTGTGAGGTACTATTCTAAGCATTTTTCTTTTGTGTAATACTCAAGTGAACCCCATGAAGAAGGTACCATCATCAGGCCTATTTTACAGGTAGGGAAACAAAAGCACAATGAGGTTAAGTAACTTCTCCAAGACCACTCAGTTAGAAGGCACAGCTAGGGGCTGGAGATTTAGCTCAGCGGCATAGAGCCTGCCTGGCAAGCTCAAGGTTGTGAGTTCGATTCCTGGTACAGGAAAAAAAGAAAAGAAGGCACAGCTAGAAATCAAACCCAGGCACTCTGGCTCCCAAACTTAGGCCCTTCACCCCTTCTATGTGGCCTGCGTGGCCTGCTGGCTAAT